TACATATATTTTTTTATTTTCGTTTTCAATGTGTCAATCAACAGATAAGAGGGTAAAGTCACGTACGTTTCGTCTGGTGAATTGCTGTGATTCTCAGTGTTACAAGAAAGTAGGTATAACAGTTCATTTAGTATGGACAAAAACCAGTAAAAACACAAAAAGTCAACATAGAATGAACTGCATGGCAAAATATACCTCTTGGATGAAAAAGAAAAATTGATAGAAACCATTAAAAAATAAAAGGTGTTTTAATTGTTTTTAAGCTGGATATGTTTAATAGATTTGAGGTCACGTTACAGTACACATTTTGCTTTTTGGAACGAACAGATTCAAAACGTAACGCCATCACGGACCGAAATGTTATCGTAATAAGGTATTTCTTTATTTCAGTTACAATGTTGCAAGTGGAAATTTGTCATACCTTTGTGATTTTGTATTACTTGTAAATGTATTTTAAGTGATGTAGCTCCAGAACTGCATGAAACATTTAGGTCATAGGGGACAAAAATGGTGACTGAAATATTGTTCATTTAGCAGAGGTAAATATAGTTCAGCAAAAAATTAAGATACTGTTTGTAAGTGATGCGGAACAGTCATTTATTACCTGAAAATATATGCCTGATCTACTTTTACAATTACTGAATGTTTCGCAGTGACAGAACACATATTTCTGATTTGCTTTAATAGCATTCTTAACCCATTCATCAACTCTTTGGAGTCAAAAAACCCCACACCACGGAGATATTTCTATATGTGCTTCAAAGTTCTCGGCCACGCCTCATGTTCATGCAGCGCGTTCCGAACACACGGTCGCCGTCGACCGCAGCCGGGAGGCATCCAGAGGCGCAAACGCGGAAGGCATCCTCCCTCGACCGCATTCAATTCAAATGCGCTGCGGGGAGCGCATGCCGCGGACGTTTCCGCGCGTGAATGAACGAGAGGGAATCTGGAGCGGAGGCGCGTTCGAACATCCACTCGCACCTTCCTCCAAGACCGGATCGGGCCCGAGTAACGGCATCCCTGCGCCGCTACAAATGAAAACCGGCCCTATTTATTGCGACGCGTCCTTCAAAACTAGACCACGTTTTATGGTGCTGCTATCGGTGCTTGTTATTCGAAGAAAATGTGTGTCAACTTGTTGCTAAGAAAAGGGAGGAAATGTACAAGTTCATGCAGCCATATGAGATATTTTTAAGAAAAGATTGAAATGTCAGAATAGATTGACGAAGAACATACGTGTACACAGGTACTAAAATTGTGTCACTCAATGTAAATAGACTTTAGAAAAAAAATGATACAAAAAAGTCTGATTTAACTAAAATATCCAATTTAAAATTGCAATTTGAAAATCCAGTATTCCAATCCTAATACTAACGCGCAGAACTATTAGTTCGGTATTGGATTTTTCACGACCTACAATTCAGACATCCTCTTGGGCTTTTTGTCTCACCGAGTGTGTTGTGAAATAATAATTGGCACAAAATTCATAAAATTGAAACGGCGACAACAAATTATCTTTTTCATTACTAACACGTTCCAGTCAACTTGGGGTTGTACTCGTAGCAATAGGTACACAAAGGAATCTCTTTTGGTAGTGCACGCGGTGTAAGCTTTGAAGGCGGTTTGCGGAGCCAAGGTCCCTCTCGCCTCGCGCTTCGTTCTTTGGAGAGCGCGCGAGGGCGGCGGTGGCGGCGGGGAGAGGACGGCGCCGGGCGGATGACCTCCCGAGGACGCACTCCTCGTCGAGGACGAAGCGGATTGCACCGATCCGACTCTAGAGGGCGGGAGGGAGGATACAAAGTGCCGGCAAAAGCGACATCTGGACAAAGATATCCCCGACGTTGGCCAATAAGGAAATTCACTGTTTCATACGGCACTTATGCTCACGAAGAGCAAGTGGTGATGTTCTGGCGAAACTGCCCTGCGTGATCGTTGATAAATTACATTCCGGTGCAGAGGGAAACGGGGTTCCATTTTGGGGAACTACACTTACAACAATACACGAATGTGTGTATATATACATACACTAGTAGAGATATGCTCCTATAGCGGAAAGAGTAAATAAAAAGGCTGATGACTTTGTCTCGATGCTTATTTTCAACATGAGGTCCAAGTTTACTACTTTGTATACTTTCTCTTACGGTTCTAGAGTTGTGAGTTGGAGGGCATAAGAAAGGTAGGAACTGCACATGTTTACAAAATTACGTTTAAAAGCCAAATGCTTTTATCTAGCAGCTATTACATTTACAAAAAAGGGAATTGCACATTTGTTTGCATCTTATGTTCATTTACATCAATAAAGAAATGAAAGGTGCTTCATTTAGTCACATGTAGATAAGAACATCTGAACTGGAAGATTGTCATCTAATCTAATCGACGCACTTGAAATCTCAAGGGAGCACTGCAGTTCATAGGACGCGACATCCTGTATCGACTAAATAAAATCTAATCAAATTAGAATTTCAATTAATCCGATTACATGTCCGCCGAAGCGTGGAAGAGAGATTATCGCCGGCTTACGGATGAGCGCCCGTCTACTCGGTCGTAACCAAGTGTTGGCGGACAGTTCACATGACGTCATGGAGGTCAGCGTTTGCCGGAATTTGACATCGACTGCCTTTCTTTTACTTTCTATCTTGTGGTTTTGATTATTATATAAAACAATCGTGGTGTGCTACTGTGCCAAAAAATTAAAACATGAATATTACTTACATGCAAAGGAGAAAGAAAAACAGTGTTTAAATGACAAAAATTTAATACAAAGTGGGAATACTTTTTAAGAAATATAATAGTACATCACTGTTTTATTAATGCAAATTTAATTCTTTGCCTCTCAGAGAGTGAACTTTTCGTTGGTGTATTACAATTTTAATAAAAAAAATATATCCTGATATGTCTAAATGTTCTTTCAGCAAACATTCGTTTCATGTATTTCTAAAAGACTACGATTTCTGTTGCAGTAAAACTGAATGATATACTCGGAAATTATCGTCGTTGCCCTTGTGCTAATTAACTTTAACTAATTAATGATTTAGGCTGCCTACAATATATTTCATAACTGCGCCTAAAAAAGAAACCGAAGAAAGTTGTAGAAAATTGCCAGAAGATAGGTACTTAAAGAGGACTACAGCCACCAGAGGCAATATCCAGTGGAGTAAAGGAGCCCGACGCCCAGTATTAAAAAGGAATTTACAATTATATGAATGCTCTTTGAGGTTTTGGTTTGCGTCACGTACTGACGCACTCTTTGCCAGCTGTCAGTTTAATAGGATTTCATGGGACATTTTGTGCCATTATGCCTGTATGCAATTATTTTGACTTAGCTGCCATTTCCATCAACGACTGATATCAAAACAAAGACCTGCTACGATCGCTGGTAGGGTTACGTTATTCGCTACGTAAATAAGGGAACGGTGCCATATTACCGGGAACGAATGACCATCTTGTGAGCTGGAAACATTACTCTGCAGCGCCGAAGCCGAATCCGAGAAGTCGCGCTCACCTGCCCGTTTGCGCCAGCGGCGGCGCGAACCGCGTGGGCAAGCCGGTCGGAAGAGCGCGGCGGCGACGGCGGCGGCTGCACACTGGTCTGAATCGGGACGAAACGCGAGCATTTCCTTTCTTGGAAAACTATTATTGGTTAACAAATATCAATGCTAGCAACTTCAATCAACTACAAAGTAAAAAAAGACGATGTTTTTTTTAAAAAAAAAATTACATTTGAAAGACCTTTTGAAAATTGAACGTCTTGACGAAATACACCTTCCTGCCCATTTACACAGAAAAATACTTGAATGTTGTATTATTAGCTGTCAAATAAAATTTTATTATATACGATTTGAATGAATTAAGCCTTATAATCAGCCAAAACTGAAACTTGTTTTAGGTAACTTGTAACTGCTGATGTAAAACGAACTCAAAATACTCCTTTGAATGTATTAATTATATATATGTGTGTGTGTAATGAACAATAATAATTATATTGTCATTGAGATTAACTGTCATGACCTGCTCTTGGAGAAAGATACGGTTCGTAGTGTATATTTCACAAAGTGATAAAATGACACCATTTTACACGGATGTAATTGCGACATACTACATGCTTGGACAGCATGAATGAAAGTTTAAAAATGAAGGATTGCAATTGATGGCAATCGTGTTAACATAGAGAAATGGACGAGAAAATTAATTGGTAATGTTTTGTATTTATATTAATATTATTATTATTGCTTAGTATAGGAAAACCTCTGTAATGTGGACTAATCCTTAATAAAACGGAATTTTGACATTATTGAAATTAAAAATTTACTTTAAAAAATTATTTTATCATTACCATTCAACATGTTTTTGTCTTGTGCAATATTTTATAGTAAATTTGGGAGTACAAACTCGTACACTGCCAAGTGCGTTCTCACTATATTGCACCTCGGTACAATACTGGTTTTCGCGTACTAGATATTCGTGCTAACGGTAATTGACGCACTTCTATACGTGCTAGAACATTGAAACTTGTACCAATATTAATATAATTAGTAAATTTATCTATAAACATGTATGAGTCCATATGGACTTACGGGAACGTTTTGCAACTGTTCACTCACTATAATACGATCAGTAACGAGTATTATCGTAAAAGAGACCAGCCAAATGTATGGTCTCGTGCTAAAAAAACGAATGTCCCTACGATGATATTTGGTCTCGCATGGCAGCCAACGTGTTAAAACAATAAAGGGCTGCGCTGCGCATGCGGGTTTGTGCCTACCCGCCCACTGTGCGGGTGGGCGGGGCAGGGCCGGGGGGCGGCGTGCAAGGGCGAGCGCGGGAGAGGAGGGAGGGGGGGCGCCCGGCACAGCCTCTCCACCGGTGAATCGGGTCCGCGGCGCCCGTCACCGCCGTGACGTCACCGCCCGGCAGGGGCGGGGAGGGGGGTCCGAGGGCGGGCGCGTGGGCGGCGCGGCGCTGGGCGTCGCGACGCCCGCCGTCGCCAGACAGACCACTCGCGATCGCGCGCCGGCGCGGCTGACCCGTGCGTGCTGCGTGTGCGACTGGACTCGAGTGCGAGAGCGAGAGCGACAGAGCAGTGGACTGAACCCTGCGGTGCTCCTGTGCGTTGCAGAGGCGGCGTCGGAGCCATGACGACGGTGCGGCAGACGGTGACGACGGTGCAGCAGAGCAGCGGCCACGGCGGGGCGCCCGGACTCGACAACAGCCTCGGTGAGTACACACACACATCGCTAACTCGCCGCTAACAGAGGCGACTTAACAGCGAGAGGGTACAGAGTCCTACGATTCAACGCTCGCTGTTTTGACAACTTCCAAATGCAAAATTTCATTTTTTTTTTCTTTCTTCTTTTTCTTCTTTTTTTCTTCTCTTTCCCCCTTTTTTCTTCCCTTTTTCTTTCTTGTCCTTTTTTAGTCATGATGAGTCCAATGCATAAAATTTTTAATCTAATTAATTACTCACTTAATGACTGGTAGATAAGCTTAATGGTAGGAACATCTAACTTGATTTCTAAAATTATTGCATGAATTTTCTTACAAGCTGAGCCGTCATCGTCTTTGCGATCATTTATATTTGATGGAATTTCTTTTGAGTCTTTAACAGTAGCGGTAGTGGCTCAAGGTGACCTAATATAGGTATAACATTCTCCAAGAAACGTTTCTTTCATTGCAAAAATGTATTGTTCTTTATCAACGCATGTGATAGTTTCAGGACATCATGGGAATTTCTTAAACTTTTTAAATACTTGTGAAATCAGAGCAGTCCAATCTCTTTTGCAGAAAAGTGATGAAATATCTGCCCACTTTCAATTGCCAAATTATTATTTTTTTAAGAATTATATCTGGTTCGTGGCATACATTTCATTGAATTTCATATTAATAGGATCATACCTTTTTGTTTCATATAACAAAGTGAACATATCTTTCAGGTCTCCTCACGACTTCTTTCCTACTACATAATATCTAAAACCGACACGACTCTTAAAACATTTCCTTCCTATGTTGAAAGTTTTTTTCCAATGAAACCATCAGTTTGTTAAGTCTGATTTGGAAACAAAAACATATTTTCAATCAAAACTGTGGAAAAGATTCTACTGATTGGTAAAAGTTTTATGTCTTCGTAATTCATGTCTGAAGGTACTACTTTATTATAATGGACGGGTGTAAATGGAATTACGTTTATACGAGATCATTTCTGAGAAATATATTTTTAAAGGACAACAATGCACTAGCTTTTACATTAGAATTTCATGAACTGTTTACGTAACATTGATTCTTTCCTTTTTCCTAATGTGCAACTTTGAAAACACGTTTACTTTTAATAAAAACACCGATAATCTTTATCCACTTTAACCAACGTTTGCGTAGAAGAGCTGTAAAATGTTCACAAATTTATGTTGGTAGGAAATGCTTAGAACTAGATTAGAATACAATGGAAAGACAAAAAGTGGGCTTGCCTATGGCCGAAAAATTAAGTATCAATCATCTTCAAACAAATCAAATGATTATATACACAATGTGAAGTATATTTTATGCACACATTCCAGAGCTTACGAAGTGTAAAACATTAAATCAATAATAAATATGCGATAAAATGAAACTATACCACAACATTTATTTATATTTCTTTTAAAAGAAATACTTCAATACGCGTCAAAATCCCGTAATTTGCGTCAACATGCCAGTGAATGATAATATCCACATGACAGTGCCTTGTTATCATTCAGTAACCTTTAGAATACAAATGAATCGCGTACCGATGCAATGTCACTGTTTCACACGTTAGTATGCCATTTCGCTAGAAACAATCGATTCGCTATGAGAGTAATAGTTGCACTTATCCTTGATGATTTCCTATTCTGAGCTAGAGCTTTTGCAAGAGTGAAAATGATTTCCAAATTACGAAGAGAACATGATTATACAACTTCTGGAGCAAGAAAAGGATGAGACGCTGGGAAAGGAGTCTTCGTGAAACATAGCCGAGAAGCGATTGACTCGCTACAAAGTGTGCATGGACTCACTAGAGTTTTCAATATCTATAAACCGTATTCAAGGATCGGACCATGATTTTCTAATAGAAAAGAAAAGCGCATGTGAATGCAAATTATATTACTTTCTCTAAATTTAAGTATACAGGATTTCAGAATAAATATTACAAAAGTCTATGAAATTTTGGGATTCAATAATGATTAATTATTGCCACTCAACATGAGGTGCAACATCCCACATAGCGGAGTGACACTTCTGACATCGCGCCTCTTGATTACTAGACAACTTATCCTGAACTGGTGTTTGGCAGGTACGCGAACCTTCAGGGAGTCAGCCTGTCAACTGGCAATATTGGAATGTCACTTGTGTAACCACGTAACAGGAAATTGTGCACCAGATGTTAATATATAACATTTCCTCTGACTATTTCCGTATAAAGTTGAATGTTTCCAGCTTTATATAGCTTATAGTTTACAGCTGTATAGTTTGGATCATTTCGTGAAGTCAGGCAATAGCCGCGTCACAAAATACAAATTCAAGTGCAAATACCGTATTACTGGTGATGTGCGAAGCATCGGAGACCTTATGAGCGGTGTAGATGTAAGTGAATACACAATGGATGAAAGTTATTTGAACGACTTAAAATTTTGATTGATAAAAATATTGTAAAATAAATATACTTTTAACAATGAACAAAAATCGTTACAAATAAAATTTAACACATGAAGGTTTTAGGTTCGGAACTTCATTCTAAACAAAATCTCAAGTAATTTCCACTCGTCTTACACTATATCTTCGGTGCCTAAGAAAAGTTACAACTGAAAAACGGTTGCTTAGCAGGTGAACTGTTTTGCCGTGAGAGGAACCGTTCACTTCAGGGCCTAAGACAGTGTTGTACTCTCTATACCGACAACTTTATGAAATATCTTTATGAACGTTTTAATAAACACTTTTTAAACATCACTTACCTCAACATTATTTTTAGACGTGTCACTTTTAGGCACTGACAACATGCTTTCCACCCACCATGCATATATCAAGAGGACCAGGAGGAAAGGCTAGCACATAATAACGTATGCTAGAAAAGTCTCTCCGCACTGTGCCGAATCACTAGCTCTCACTAACAATTGCATTTATGTTCATAGCAACCAGATCTCTGGGAAACAAGTAAGGGAGACATTACCAGCATGTGTTATGATTGTGGGGAGTACTCATTTTACAATTTCATTTTTTACAAGCTGCAATACGTGCTTCCGACATAATTTCTATTACATACACTCTCACCAGTAAGGTTCCACTGCGACTTTCCTGGCGTTCTGTACATTCCACACTGTGTTCTTTTACATGGATCTCAAAGTGATCTCTTACATGGATCTTTGATAACTTCCTCGACCTTTCAAAACTGACGGTTGGAAGATCGGAGTTAAGGATTACATTTCTTCCTAAAATAAAGAATTTATATTTAATATAATTTCATATGAACACACTTTATTTAAATTTGTAAAATCAATCGAAAAAACATTTTCACACAAATGTTTGAGTATCTTTAAAAAAAATAGGTCATTTTCCCTTATTTTTAAGGCATTTTATATGCCACTCTACCCTTATATTGAAGTCATTTGTAAATTATTTTTATACCATCAGAATCCGAGCTCTGGAGATGCGTAATACACTGCAATAGCCAAGCATTGTCGGGTCCACTAGTAAATAAACAAAAGAACCGCGAGGGCCACCTGCGTGGCGCCGCCTGCGCCCGCCCGGGCGGTCCGGTCCGGCCATGCCGCGTGCGCCGCGTCCATTTAGCGCAGTTGCGCGGCCCAAGTGCAGCCATCTCCGGCAGATAAACGAGCCCCGTTGCGTCATGGACGCCTTGCTCTCGATTCGCGCGTGGCTCGGCTCCCGGCCGCGCTCCTTTAAACGCCCGCGCGCCCCGCAGTGGGCCGTGTGTGGGCTGCCAGTGGGCTATGGCAGGCCATCACCTGTTACGGGGTCATCCAATCGGGAACTTACTCGTCACTACAGTGGCGTCGCAATGGTGACGTTCAACCTTCCCATTGGATGGCGCCGTAACAGCTGATTTACTTCAGAGGCAGCTCTGAATTAATTGAAGCGTAAGGCAAGCTGTCATGGAGGGGGGGCGGGAGAGGTGGCTCAGGGAATCAACTGGTGCAATGCTTCTGACCGGCTCCTATGGTTCCACTCGCGATGGTGGCATGATTTGCGACATTAGCTGGAGAGGTAGGTTTAAGTCAGCCGCTACCTGAGGGAGAATTCTAGCGGCCGGCAGTTCTGATCGATAGTTTTATGTGGTTTCTCCGATCAATATCAATCGAATGATGGAGCAGTAACCCCCCACACGGACCGCGCGCGATCTTTCCTTCCCATTCCTTGTCCTATACCCCCTTACTTACACACACAAATATGCACTATATTACCACACATGCCGGAGGCCGGTCGAGACTTTAGAGCCTGCCCCGGCAGTGGCGGTGCCCCCTCTGGTGGGAGAAACCTGGTTGGGGAAACCCCCTTTACCCGACGGTAGGTCGGCGCCGGATCTCGCCATACAGCAGCGCAAGATCACCCCCACCTCCCGAGCAAAAGACAAGCACTACACGTAATGATCTTAGCAGTTGACGCAGCCGGAATCACTAGTGATCAATCATCAACGGAGGGGAGTACTGGGGATCGTCCCCCGAAAAGTTTGGTGTATCCTGTTGGGAAATAATTAATTTGTCCCTGCCAGGGGCACAATAAATCCCTTTTTAGTGCGTAATTGTGTATGTTATCCGACTTTGCATTGTCCAAGCGAAGAAAACTGGAGGCGCTTCTAGGCAGTTGTAGGCTTACAACTCGCTTTGTTAATTGCGGGGACTAACTGCTAAGGGACCACCTTTGGATTCAGCTAAATAAATTTCCAGGAAAATAGAAGGCCATTGGGTTTTGTCGAAATCAGTATTGTTTTGTTGATTGTTAATTGAGGGTAAGTAGTGTAAGTTAAGGTATTCATTTTCTTAATAAGCATTATTTTTGGCTCTCAAGTCAACGCTTTATTAATTTGATTCTATCTCTCTACTTACTCAATTGTGGAATAATTTACAAATTCAACGTTGTATGTTTTATGTATATGCTTCGAAAAAAGTAGTTTTAAATTAAAAATCGAGACTTTCCTAAAAGTACCTGCAAATTTGATTTGAATCGTATTGTCAACCGATTCCTTGTTATGGCAATTTCTGCAAGGATCGTAGAAATAAGACATCTGTTTCGGGTTAATTAAAAAATGAATGTAAATAGGAAAATAGTGTAAATTATTGTTTTATTAATTGTATCCGAGTTCGGTAATGACAATATTATCAAGCGTCATGAAATAAGTAAATAGAAAACATACTGTTTTGTTTGATTAGAGGCATAATTTATGCGTACTGAAAATAAAATGAAAATTGCCTGTTCGATGTCAATTAAACTTATCTTACAATCATATCAACCTAAGAGTTTATGATATAAGGAAATGTGAAAAAATACTTCACATTATACATCCTTCAAGGAAAATCCTAAGAATCTTGTTACAAGTTTTGATAGCATGGCTTTGACCACATTTTCCGGGAAGAAGAAATGACATACATTACTTACGTCGAATTGAGACAAGAATGTCCTACCAGCCAGTACACGATGACCTCTTCATTGAGAAACATATATGCAACATTGTGATAAATTAAAACCACAAATCCGAACGACGTTATAATGTGTCTGAATGGAAAATACGACCCACTGAGCCATGGTATATTGATAGGGCAACGGATCACCGAAGAGCGCGAAGTACCCGCTGTTAATGAATTCATTTTGTTTTACGATCGAGTCAGGGAAATGATTATCGCAGTGCTGGTGGATTAATGGGTAATTGCCGGCGTAAACACGACCACAAATGAATGAGTTTCACAGAAATAGTCCCAGTAATTTAATTGAAGTTTTTATGTGGCGATACTCAAGAGAGACGTTTGCTTTGCACAATTACAATTTTAATTTAATCATATGTACTAAGCATTGTTTTACTCAAAAAATTAATGGAGATTTATTGTTTATATTGATAGAATTAAAAAAATATTATTTTTATGATCCAGCAATTAAGGACACCACAAAAACTATACTGGAATGTCAAATTACACTTAGTTATGTGAAATACGTGAGTATTTATTATTTCGTAATGTATGAAAAATTGAAGTCAAAGTCTTCATTTCAGGAAAATGTCACATCTCGCTGATAAGAAAAATGTTTCTACGAATACGAATAATTGACGTTTCCTTTGTTTGAAGATTAATTCAGTAGCATATGACCGAACTAAAATTGTCTCTCATGCTATAAGAATATTTTAATTTTGTCGTTGAGTCGTCATTCTCCAAGAGTTCAATCTTCTTTCTCAACGCGGTCTTGATGTATGTACAATTGACTGTCATAAATATAACATCGTATCTTATCAGTATCATAAGTGATTTGCTCCAATATCCAGGAAGAGTAAAAAACGATATGAAGTTTTGAAAGTATATTATCACTTCAGATAACTGAGAACGAATGAAAAGACATGAGTTATGACATTAGTGATAAATAATATAATTTAAAATTACATCATTCTCTAAACATTATTACAAGTTCCTTCACTCGCATTGTTTATCGACGTAGTCAGTGTTGAAGCGTATCTCATACAAGTATTTATGTTCCTTGTAAACACATTAGCATCTATAATTCCATACATTATTAAATTGTACTCCAAATATTATCTTACAACATAATGTACCACCATGCTGTTAATACAATAGCCTTCGATGCTCACTAGGAATTTACTCCTTTGATCTCAAAGTAACTTCAGAATTGTTTGCCCAATCGACTTGTCTGCCAGAATTGTTCGACCAATGTTTGCAATACAGAAGCTGGCGCAATGGAAAACCAGTTAAATTGTAGCGAGAAGAAAATGTAAATTATAGATGAAAAACGACAAGTAGATAAAGAAAATATTTAATGGAACACTAGACCAGTGAATTAATAAATTTTTGTGTGTATGTGCTTGCATTATTTGCATGCGAATTATCGCAAACTTCAGTTATCTCAAATTTTCTTTTTATTAATTCAAAGAAAGTATAATAATGAAATGATACTCACGTGTAAAATACCTATAGGAAAACGTGCTTCACTCGCTGCTATTGCGACTACTTCCATTCGTTGAAAACCTTAGAGTTTCTCGTTTTCAACTCTTTCAAACGCGCAGCTAAGGCTTTCTCATCTTGCTTGTTTCTAATTCTTGGTGCTGAGCAAGAGTCAGCTTGCTGTCGACTACTTAAGAACTCCCAAAATACTCTAACTAAAATCGGAGTCTGTGACTAAGCGTCGTAACGTAACTGTTTTTGTATATTGTTTAAGGAATACTTAAAAACAGAGGCAACCCTTTATATTTTTCAATTTTTTTTCACACGTATTTTGGGAGGATTTTTTCCAAAATTTGGAAGAACGATAATCACTAACCCATCTCAACACATGGTAATAATACTTTGAATAACAAAATGATTTAAATGATAGAATGATAGTATGATTCGAGTTTGCAAATAGAAAAAACAAGTGGTGGAACGGTCCAGGAACTTGAGAAGGCCCCACTACACGAAAGGTGCCCTCGAATTCACTTTTTGTTCCACGTATTCCGAGTGATCATCATCGGAAAGCGAGGGCTTGAGCAAGTCATACGAAGCGTTCAGCGCAACTTCTTGAGTAATGTTGCCTGAGGGGTGAATTATGGCGATGGAAGCGGTAGGCTACGGCGGGTCCACGGAAAAAACGGCTGTGGCGGCAGGGACTAGGGCAGGCACCAGGGATGGTTGGTGGCGGTGCGTCGGGGCAGGTGTGGGCCGGTCGCTGTTGGCAGTGGCGGTGGCGCTCACGTGCCAGGACACGGGTTTGAGCCCAGCCTTGACCCCGCGCGGACGCCACAGCCACCAGCGCCAAGACCGCCCCGCCACAACCATCGCTGCAACCGTCGTCATCGCCGTTACTACCGCCTGCGCCTCCACCGTCACGGAGCACGTCCCAGCCCGCAGCATGAATTTACCCTCTGTCGATGACGGTTTGACGTCGAGACTCACACTTCTCTACTTAATGCTTTTTCTACACAGTTCAAAATTACTGGCGTACAGGACGTCTTACATGTGAATGTCCATTGGGACTGGTATTGTATATTGTTTAAGGAATACTTAATAACAGAGGCAACCCTTTACATTCTTCAATTTTTTTTACACTCGTATTTTGGGGGGATATTTTCCAAAATTTGGAAGAACGATAATGTCTAACCCATCTCAACACATGGTAATAATAATTTGAATAACAAAATGATAGAAATGATAGAATGATAGTATGATTCGAGTTAGCAAATAGGAAAAACAAGTAGTGGAATGGTCCAGGAACTCGAGAAGGTAGTTTGCGGCGTTGCTGAAGTAGCTAGTCATAGTCTCGCGAGCAGTAAACACATGCTTGTTTTTCACACTTGTTAAAGTATCACTCGAGTAATGAAAAACTTCACAAAGTTTTGTTTCAGAAAGCACGTTTTACTGGCAATTCGTGACTATTAGTAGGCCAAGTCCCCTCATGAAAATTTCGAAAGGGGTCCCTCTATTCTACATAATAAAACATTTTAGTATTTCTGTAAATGTGACCAGTTCATGACTTTCCCTCCTTTTTAACCCAATAATTTGAGGAAGCCATCTGGCAAACATTTAAATCCTTCAATAAAACTAACTGTATTTATTAATGTTATTTCTTACCCTAGTATAATTTTATTTTTTTGCTAATAAAATAAGTCATTTGCAAATAAAAAACGCTTAGGTATTGAAAAACGGCGCCCAAGAAGGGACAGAGGAGTACAGGAATGTAGTTGTTCCCCTTTTATTAGGTTTCACACGGCTGTTGTTAAATAATCGTTAGTTTGTGTGCTATAAAGTGTGTGTAATTTATTTGCATTTTGTGATGTATCTTCCTTCTCTACGCTCACGAGACTCGCAATATTTAGCAAAAAATTCACGTAAGTAACGTGGGAAGTGGAATGGACATTAGATAAACGGTTCAATGAAACGTGAGATGTTCTCAAGATCGTATATTACTAAACGTCCATGGGAGGCAGCCAGCGAAATTGCGCAATCATGAGGTTCAGGGAGAACTCTTTAAGGCCGTTTCACACGATGTTGGGAATAATGAGGGAGATAGTGATGACAGATTGCCGTTCAGTTTTGATACAAACGTTCTCACTTTCTGGATCCCTGTTTCCGATGTGCACATGCACCCTGGGGTAAGATATTTCAATAAAACTCTTTCCGTGACAAAGTATGAACGATTGGTAGAAATTCAAAAGAATTGCATTCAACATCGATAACTGACTTGCCTACTTCCTAACTGACAAGAAAACCAAAATAAGGGAATCAACGTTAGAACAATTTCAGAATGCCTTATTTTCTTGACGAGTACAATAACAATAACAACAATAATAAAAATAAAACATATTATTGTTGCAAATGAGCGTACGCTAGGTGAAAGTTTAGCTCAAAAGTAGACACCTCCTCGTTCAAAAATATCAACATAAAAATTAAAATGAATACCAATGAAAACAATACAGATTACAGTATTTAATATAAGTACGTTAGCATTGGTTAATAATGTTCCTGTATTCCTATTTTCCTACGAAGTTGATTTCTGTCACGAAATGACAACTAGCGACAAAAATATCCTGCTTGGTGCGCAAAGAAAAGTGGAAGCTCAATCGTCATTCTTTCGTATGTGTCCCACTTGCCCTGTGCGCCGCGCCGTCCTGCTGCTGCTGCTGCTGCTGCTGTTGGTGCGTGTGCGGCCGGATACGCCCCCGCGCGGCGCGACGCGGCTGGCTGCGCGCCAGGGGCAGCACACACGCAGCCCCCCCCCCCGCCAACGCCCCCGAAACGAAGAGATACATTTCGGGAATGGTTAGTCATTGAGGATTTCTATAATTAGGGGAGGATTTTAATGAAATGTCTTTCTTTTCACTTTAGAACAATATCTTTTAGTATATATATTAATTTTATGTTACGACAAAAGTGACCCATTATATATGGAATTTTTTGCATTTCGGACGATCTACTAATAAGTCATTTTCTATCTTTTCCCGTCATTTCTGAAACATTTTTCGCCCATTTCATGGATTTTAATATTACTTTAATGGTATTTGCTGCAAATATTATTTCCGAGATGCAAAAATGTTCTCCCCAGAATAACTCAGTATCCTCTTCGATTACTTCCGTCAGAAATTGTTATGTTAGCTGTTGTGAGTATGTAATTTAAGGTTCCTATCAGCGCCTTTGTCAGTTTGGCCGATTTCGCGATAACTAAAGACTGATAATTGCCTGGTAAATAAAGAACAGCCCGACTTGAAGGAAAGGAAGAAGCGTCAATTATTTTAGTAGCATATCCAACAGCTTGAGTTGTTCATCTGAACGTACTTGATCAATCTTTTTAAGTAATTTTTCTTTGCTTTTAGGGAATTTTAAAAACATTTTAAGAGTATTTTACTGATCATTTTTGGCGATGTTTTAGATCACCAAAATTCGCTCCTAGTTGTGTCATACGGGGGGTGGAGACATTTCAGGGAGTTCTTAATGTATAAAAAGCTCTTGGACTTGAGCGCACAACCCTCCATGGGAAATAAGGGAGATGACGTTAGAGCTCTACTTGGCCTCTGACTGTCACTAGAAGGAGATAGTGTGGGAAGAACAACGCCTTAACTCCCAACGTTCGTGCTACGTTGTTACTTATCTTACTACCGGTGAATAAGTAACTTACAAGTCACTTTATATTCGATACTCATTGCAACGAAGTTTGGTGGGATTCAGTATAGACTTGATATGTTTATCGCGCGTTAAAATCCCCTGCGGCAGTGAACCTCAAAACAGGTCCTTGAAATTAAGAAATGACAACCTTCATCGTTGCGCTATTACGATTTCATGCACATTATTTTGCCTCTTAAAATTTTATCATTTAGAATGTAAAAACATTCTGTCCAAGCAAACGAAAAAGTACAGGATTTAGCCGATCTCTGAGCGTAAATATATTCGAAATCTTTTCTAAATATTAAAAATTCTGTCGCTTTGAACAGGTGAAGGTACATTTCACAATTTCATAATCATTTTGTACTTTTTAAAATAGCAACATAAGGAACGAAACCAATATTACTGGAACATAATTTGTTTTACGTGTAAAATCGAAATGTTTAATTTCTTTGTAGCATTCTATTCTGCATGGCACGATGCATTTTCAGTTACTTGTCATGTGTTTAAAGTATTACCCGACGTGTGAAAGTTAGTGTTGCACGTATCTGCGTATTTTATCTTGTTACATGCTTGTCACTTTTTGTCTAGTACAATTACATGCACGAACCTCTGTCGTCAGTAATTATCAACCGCAAAAACTGGAAGTCTGCTACCACCTGCAATCATACACAGGGGAGACCATTGCAACGTTTTATTTTATCTATTTTCCATCCAGTCTTCTGTAATTGTGAAATCAACAATCGATGCACAATATACCTACAGTATTATCCAATTGAAATTTCTTGATCCCCAGTGAGTTAAAAGAGGGGCACCGATACCCAATCGGGGGCTTCAATTTTTGAATTTGGACAGCAGGCCCCTTCTCCTAAGTTTCCAAGGCTCACGATATTTAAAATCAGATAATAGATATTCACATACACAAGTGTGAATAAGGTATTAGAGAAATCAAGAAGTTGGAACTGGAGAGAGGCCTTATAAAAACAAATGATTTCTTCGTTGGAAGAACCAGGGCTCGTGGGAGGTGTCGCTGTTTCGTTAGAGTCCACCTCGGACAGAAGCACCGGAGCCCACTCAAAACCGCCCACAGCGCAGACGTCCCAAGGACAGGCACCGCAGGCAACGTGATGGCAATGCTGGTCCGGAAGCAAATGGGTTAAATAGGTTATCACGAAATACGTAACTTTTTAAAAAATGATTGACGGAATTAATGCTTTGCTTTGCTTTGAAGATGATAATTTTGAGATACAACAATACACTAATAGTTGGTATCATTTACAACTCGAAATCATTATGTAAAAATGGCACATCCAAAAAACATAAATTTCATATTAACCACGAAACACGCTACAAAACAAAGTATTTTTTGTAATGTAGTGCATTCCTTTGCTTTTTTAACGAACTATTACAATTGAACTATTATAAGTGAATTCTTTCAGACCCGAAAAAACCACGATAATAGTAAACATAAATTCTATTAAAATATAATAATTAATGGATGGCCGAGCTGGCGAAGAGCGTGTAACCTCTCAGCGCATGGGTCTAAAGGGTTGCCAGTTCGAGTCCCCCCTTGGGCATGGTTATTTGTCTCGCGTTCTGCTGACCCCTGATCAAAGGATCCCGCAAGTATGTTGGTGTCTAGTGTATGATCTAATATGCGTCCCATTGATACGTAAAGGGTAACCGGCTGTCGACTAGATTAAATACCCAGAATTTAAAAAAAATAATGGCTTAATGCATCTTACGTGATTTTATTTGCGTTACGTATTTTCAGCGGGTAAGCGAAAACCACTACGCTCGCATTTGTGGCGGTTCGACCACCGTGCGGCGGCCGAGGCTGCGGCTGCGGTTGCGGCCCCGTTTCCCGCGCGCCTTGTATAGTCGCAGGGGGCGCCACCGCCGAGGTGAAGGCCGTTTCGTCGCAACGTCACGGCGACGGGATGACACTGTCGGTGACACAACGGAGGCAGCATTGGCGCATGATGGACACACGCTCAGGCAATAAGTTCTGCTCACTCCGTCCATTCACAAAACTCGCATTTTGCGATCGGTCGAAAGTTACCGCCATGTTTTGTATGTCACATTATAATTATGAAGTCCTTTCATATAGGTCAACTGAAACCTCAAATCTCACGGTAACGTCGATATTCCTTCTCGTACCGATGGAATTAGTGTTTTCCTTTGTCACGTTTAGAAATTTCACGACGCAACAATTGCAATAGCCTCTAACTACGCGCCGCCATCGCCGACGAGGTTGATGGTAGAATTGTTGGTGTATCGAGGTGTTGTTTAATTAATTTGAAATGGAATAAGTTAAAAAATAGCAACAGTAAAAATGTTATCGAAATGAATGGTTGGACCACAAACCAAGGCTTCCCGAATATGAGACAATGCCAATGCTGACAGTGGTTTTGGTAGGGTCAGTGCTGGCGCTAGGCATGGGCAGTCTGGGCGATAGTCCGGAGCCCCGCAAGTCAAGGGGCTGGGTGATGGCACTGAGGGGGAAAAATAGTAAAAAATTGAAAAAAAAAATTGAAATTGGGAAAATCGTTATAATAATTCTGTAAGTCGTGGTACGGTAGTCTGATATTTCATAAAATATTCAATTAATATGTTACCCTAAATATTTAATTATAGTCATCACTTGTATTGTAGGAGTCTATGAAATGAATAAAATGACGCTAGTATTAATATGTAACTATATTATACTGGAATTATTGTTATTATTTCATGTGTTTTACAAGAAGTAATTTTATTAATCACTAAGTAAACAAATTATTTTAGCGCTTTAAGATCACCGTGGAAATATTATTTGATCACTACATGATTTTACTTAAAACTATTTTTTAAAAATATATTTCCAAAATCATTTTCTAGCTTAAACGTAATTTTTATTATTTGTTGAAATAAAATAACTCACACTTTGATACATTTTTTTCTCATTTTTAATTGAGAAGGGAGGGGGCTACGGACCCAATATCATCTTGCTCCGGCGCTGGGTAGAGAAATCTGTTCTAGTAGTATTAGTGGTAGAGGCGCTGGCGGCGGTGGCAGTGGCTGCGTGTCGCAACGTCATTCTGGAAGGAGCGGCGAAGGCTCCGGCGCCGACGACTCGAAGCTGCGCTGCGCTGGCCCTGGCGGAGGCGGTGGCGGAGGCGGAGGCGGAGGCGAGGGCGAAGGTGGTGGTGATGGCGATGGCGGGGGCGATGGCGGGGGCAATGGCGGGCCAGTGGTGGCAGTGGCGGTGTCGTTCGCGGTGCCGGTGGCGGTGGCGAAGGCGCTCTTGTGAAAGTCGCCTTCTACTTATTTGGAATTCGTCGGGTTTTTATGTAATGGAAAGCGTTTAGGAAGGATACGTCACCAAGGAATCTCTGCTCCATCATATGCTCAATGAATCATTCATTCATTCTCAAAGCAGACCTTCAAGTGTAAATAATTACATTGAAGGAACGAAGATTAATGAGTTGAAAGAAATAATGCATTATTTTTTTAAAATCCGAGTCCACCACTTATACGTTTTCTTTTCGTAATATTTTAATACATACTTAAATCGACTTGACCCAACCCCAGAATCGAAAGGCTACTCTGCACTGTTCCCAACAGTTCGCCGTCCGTTAACAATCGAAAAACTACTGCTGTTACTAAGGATGAGATACGAGTACTGCTATTGAAATAATACGTATTTATTTGTAGTTGTTTCAACAAAAATGTGGTAATAGGAAAATAATTGAACTACATACGGCCTACTTCACAAATGACGATACCAGTGGCCAACTAGCAGTGACCTTTTGCAAGTGGATTGTCCATCAAGGCTTTGCGCGGAAGGAGCTCACGTTTTGCTGATTCTCGGATTGATGAGCCCTCAAGAATCTCGTTGTATGGTAGAGGGTCTCTGGCATCGGCCGGTAAAGCCGTAAGAAAAAAAAGAAAGAAAAATTCTTCTTCTTGATATTGAGCTATTCAACTGAACCATTCTTATTTGTTCAATGTAATCATTCTCTCCCAAAAAATCAATGCATGCAATAGGTTGATGCCAATGGTAAAACAAGAAAAAGACTACATCGGTTTTCAAATCGCTGTGTTCAGGAAAACTCGTTATTTTTAACCAATACTTTTTTATGTGTTATAAAAATTACTTCTGTGAAGAGGCAAGAATTTACTTTGTACAGAACTATGAAAGCTGTTATTGAGTAAGATTGTCATCATTAGAGATTCAATGAATTCCCGAAAGTTTCTTCACAATTTGTTTGAAATTCAAGTTTTTACTAAAATACAAAAGTTGTCGACAACGCTGTTAATGAGAAACCAAGATAAAGGGTAGTCATTTTTGGTGACCACCGTTTCTTATTGCTCAGAACATCACCATTAATTATCATAAATCAAAACAACTTGCAGTATTATTTCAAGGCCATTAATGGAATTTACCCAGTAGCTGTGTAAAGCGAGAAGGCTCGTTAGCACAGACAGTACACTCTTGATGAGGCAAGTCACGCACTTGTGGAAAAGGAAGAATGGGGGAACGAAAACTTCTCTGGAACACTTTCAAGTTACAGCCAGACACTTCTGTGCGGGACGCGAACAAGCAGCGACCTCGCAGGGTGGTCCATCACAAAAAAGAGTCGAAGGCGGTCTCTTGAAATACGTCACCTCATTTCCCCCTCCAGCAAAGCGATGAATAGGTCGCGCACACCGGGCCACAATGGGCCAAACGGCGTGCACGGGGGGACACATTAGTCGAGCAATCACATCGGAACAAGCGAGTAATATTTGTCAGCTATTAAATGAGTCACATTGTTGTCATAAAAAGTCGAGTAATACTTTAATTTTAGTATCTTGATGTGAGATGTATGAATGTCGCCTATAATAAAGTGATAGAACGTATTAGCTACTGGTATGATTAGTTTAATACAACTTTATTTTGTATATTTGTTTTCAAAATATCGGATACAGAACTTAATTAAGTCTGTCACCAATTGACATCAGAAGAAAATAGCAATATGTCCCATATTTTGAAGACAAATATGTAGAATAAAGTTGTATCAATTAAACTAATCATACCAAAGCTAATAAAATGTTCTATCACTTTATTATAAGCGATATTCATACATCTCACATTAAGATACTAAAATTAAAGTATAACGAACCTTCGTAAACAAGAAACTGAAAATAAACGGAAGCCTCGAAATACTTGAACGAACTAAATACTCTCATTTCAAGATAATTTTAATATAATATAATATTTAACAATATTATTTTTTTTCAGTAAGTAAATACATTTTTATCTGTTTCGCTTGTAAACACGTGCTTGGAATTCACCAAAAAATATTTCTTGCCCTGCCTTCTTGTTTCTGCCCACTGTGTTCGTTGTTGATGGAGGCGAGGCGATTCCTGCAGGAAGCACTCCCATTTAGCGATAAAGCGCGCGGCCCTTTTATCTCCGATAGGGGTGGAGGGCGGCCCCGTGCCCTTCGTCGCCCCCGCCCCCGGCCCACGCCCCCGCCATCGCCCCGCCTCGCCCGCCCGCCCCGCCCCCGCCCCTCCCACGCCCCGCCCGCCCGCCCCCGCCCCGCCCCCGCCCCGCCCCGCGACAAGTGGACGCCCGCGTTGCCCGGGGACCGCCCGCTCTCTCGCCCCCCCCCCTCGCACGACGCTTGGCGGTAGCGACGCCTCGTTGCCACCGAGAAGATACTCAACGACACACGCAGAGTGGTGTGAAAATTGTCCACTCAGTGAAGATAATGTAGAGGACATGGCCGGGAACAGAATGTTTGCCTTCATAGCGGATTGAAGCAGTTAGGAAGTCTATACATCCGTGGTCGAAATACAAAAATAAAGAGAACGATTGTAATTGAAGTAAATTCTGTTGGTTTTCATTTCGAATGGAATAAACAGTTCGTCGTTACTCGCCGGTTTCAAGATACAAGTTATAAAACAAAATTCGAAGATACTACGTGCTTTCCTGTACGTGCAAAGAATTGTAGCGGTATTTTCCAGGGAAAGGTTTCTAACATAGTTTGTAATCTCTCAACTTTCGACAACCATGGCTTTCGACAAACTCGCAGACATTCAGGCCTCTGTTAAATGGTGATGCCACAGCTAGTTCAGGATTTTCTATTCTTAGAGAATTCATCATCGAAGGACCGCTTGTGTGTTTGCGCGCATGAAAGTAACAACCGTAAAGGCAACAATGTATAGCCATTATGTTCCATTGGTATCATCCTTTATTCTGTTTACCTGGCACTATTAATCCATTAGTCAATGCACAGCGGTTCCGCTTTCATTTACACGATTTTTATAGTATACCCAGATTTTAGACAATTGAATGAATCAAGACAATTTTAAGGCTTTATTTATTAAGTGTTTGAAATAATATCTCTCAGTAAATTGCACACATTAAAGGTTTAGAAACAAGAGCATAACAAGCGTTGAGGAGAGCCTTCGCAAATGATATCAAAAGCATACGTGGTAAGTAAATTCTTCGTGTCCTTGGGCGGACGTAGAGTGGTAGCCCGAGCGCTTGTCAGGCATCGCTGTTCAGTTCTTTGGAATTTGTGGTGAACAGAGCGGATTTACTGCATATTTTACTGGGGTTTGCTCATTCCCTTGCACCTTATTCCATCTTGACTCCATTGCGCATCACGTCTTTCAGGCAGGCAAATTCGTATACCAGTTTACAGTCACGATTATATAAACGGATTTGCAACCTTGCGGATCCACGTACACTGCCTATATACTTGTATTGTACTCCTTATTTAATACAAACAATTATTAGTTGAAATAAACACTATTAATTTTTCTATCGAATATCGATTTGATAGGTATTGTGATAGAGGATTTTATAGTATGGGATGTGCATAGAATAAAATAATAAAAGGCTCTGAACGGTAGTTTTGCGTGGTTTCTCCGATCGACACCAGGCGAATGCCGGTGCAGTACACTCACAAACGGGCCACGGACTGCGCGCGCTCTTTTCTTACCATTCCTTGCCCTATCCTCACCCGTTTACACACACATTAACATGCACTACAGTACCAGACATGCCGGGAGGCCGATTGGGAGCTTCGAGCTTGTCGCGACTGGGGCGGTGCACTGCTGGTGGGAGATACCTGGTTGAGGAACCCCCCGCGACGTCGGCGCCAGATCTCGCGATACAGCGTAGGTAGCCCACAGCTACCTCCAGAACAAAACATCTACTACTCTTACAGGACCAATGCCCTTGTTAGTTGATACGTCTGAAATCACTAACAATCATTCAATCGAACCGCAGCTCCATCGGTGCGGAGGACAAATGCCTATCCATTAAACAACGCGACCCCTCCAATAGCTCCGAAGAGCTTGTGCGGGGGGCAGTGCCACGCTGGTGGGAGATACTTGGTAGGGAAAACCCCACTGGCCGCGGTAGGTCGACGAAGGATCTCGCCATACCATGGGGAAAGTACACCGCCACCTCCCGCGATAAATTCACTATCTACACTTATGGGATCGTAGCTGTTTACACGCCCAGAATCATTAATCATTAAATCCAATAGCATTTAATTTAGGAATAGCAGTTTAAGTGCGTTTAAATCGCCGTCCACCTGGCAGCTGTTGGCGGCCCACGCGTGTGACGCGACCCCTCCGTTCGGCGCGTCTGGGGCGGCGCGGCGCGGGGGGGGGGCGGGGCCCACGCGGGTCTTACGCAACGCGGCCGCCTCCGCGTTGTTTTGGGCAGAGCCCACGCGGCGGCGCGCGGCTGTTTTCGGGCGCTGCCCTTTCAAGGCGGCGCCGTCGCCCTCGGCCGCGCGCGAGGCGGTGCGCGGGCGGGCCGCATTCCGGCGGTTAAAGGCGCGCGATGCCTGCGACATGGCAGCCCGGTCACGCTGGAGACACGGGGCGGTTCAAACAAGAACAACCAAACCGAGGATTGTTTCCGAATTCCAGGTGCTCGTCCAGCGAGCTTGCGGACTGGTTTTTAGGTGGTTACACTATGTAACCATTTATACAATTTCGCCCCTTTTTCCTTACTAGCGGAGCTCTACAGGCGATGTTCTGTCCTTCCGCCTCTCTCTCTCTCTGTCGCCGCCTCTCTCTCTCTCTGTCTCCGCCTCTCTCTCTCTGTCTCCGCCTCTCTCTCTCTCTGTCTCCGCCTCTCTCTCTCTGTCTCCGCCTCTCTCTCTCTGTCTCCGCCTCTCTCTGTGTCTATCTCAGTCGGTCTGATTCTCTCTCTCTCTCTCTCTCTCTCTCTCTCTCTCGTTCCGTCTCTTTCTCTCTCCCTGTCTGTCTAACTGAACCTGTCCCTCCCTTTCTCAG